ATACACTAAAGTTTGCTGTTGTTTTTTAAATAAAAGTATCACCACTTTTAACCAGAAATACCACAGATGAATGAAAGTGAATGAATCATCAGGAGAAGCAAGTCTCATTTGAAGATCATTTCTAATAATATTTAGAATACTAACTTGCAGGAATTCCAGATACACTAGCAACTTCAAAATCAAAATATTATGAAACAAATAATAAGAAAAGGAAAATTCCATCTTTTCATTTCCAAATGACCTAAGTAATCTTTAATAGATTTATTTGTTATAGTAAGCACCAATAATCAATCAATCTCTCCCTCCACCCCAAACCCATCAACCTTTCATCCTTTTCATTACAAAGAGATATTTAAAGCTCAAGGGTTTACTCAAAAAGTTTACTAAGAGTCAGGGCAATCTCTGTAACAAGCTTCTGGAATTCTGCAGGTTTGGGTTTATTATAGAAAGGGAATTTCAAAAAAACTCTAGGGACATTTGAAAAATAAAAAATATTTGTAGGTTATTTACTAAATTGTTTCATTCTATCATGAAAAAAATGCAGCATATATTAAGATAAATACCTGACTGCTTGTCTTGAAAGCTACCGAAATATGCCCTTTGAAATAGTGAACTTTATATTCAAAAGTCTAAGTCTATGTTAGCACTTTTTTATGATGCTATCAAAGTGACTACCCCATCACCATAAACACCCAATGTTATGTCAACAGAAAAACCTGTTTCCAAAAGGAATGGTGTAACTTAAAAGGATAAGAAATTCATAGTAAGTGTCAAATTTTGCAAAAAGAAAGATCTGATTTTAAAAATCCTGCTTTTCAAAGTAAAATGATAGGCCACGCCTACTGGCTTTTAGTTTTAAATGGTAAGTGATTTTTCTATACGGACCGCCCTGGAAACTGCAGAGCTAGACTTGTGATTAAAACATACTTGAAACTACATTACTAGTAGCAAATGTGTTAAGGGGTGAAGACCCTTAGAGAGCATATATTTCAAGTCATTCTCTTTAAAGAAACTGAGGCTGGGAGATCTCTGACTCACTCAAGGTTAGTTCTGTTGTGTCCAAGCTGGCAGGGGAATGCCAATCTACATGACACAACGAGGTCCAGTGTCCACCCTGAACTTTACATTCAGCTTTTGCCATAATTTACTTTACAATGTGGCACGCGGACGGACATCCATTCACTGGAAATTATTAACAGACAGATGACTTTTGTCACCACTCCCACAGAATGCCCAGAGCCTGCAAAGTGCAACACACACTTCTCAGCCATTACTCATTTTTGCCAGCTTGAAAATTTAATCTGGATTAGAATCATTTTTCTTATTTGAATAGGGCACTCCTTCCGTGGCATAACAGCCAAGAAGGCTAACACAAATAAAGTAATATCTTTCTGTTTTGTTAACTACCACTGGGTGTATCCAATAGCAGAGACCAGTGATTTTCAACTTTTGGAACTCAAGACACATTTCCCCTCCTAAAATGTACTGAGGATACCAAAGAACTTTGGTTCCTATTAATTATATCTACTAATATTTACCATGATTAGAAATTATAGCTAATATTTATTTTAAATAATTTGAAAATAAGTCATTACATGTTAACAAATACATTGTATGTGGTGACATGATATGTTTTGGCTCAAATATATAAAGAAACTCTGGCCCAATACAGATATGTTGTTGGAAAAAGAAGGAGCATGTCAATGGTCTTTTCAGATAAGCGCAGATATGATTCTTTTACACTCTAGTGAAAATTGACAGTAAGTAGTTTCTTAAAAGTGAGGTGCAATGTGGAATCTGAAAACATGGATATCTCTGAACTTTTCTTACACTATTCCATTAAAATTCATTGGTCTATCTTCCATTTTCAATGGGTCTTCAAAGGATGCATAACTTTTGACCTCATGAAACTCCTGAGGTCTCAGGAACCTCAAACTGTATTTTGAGGTCTACTAGAAAACAGTTTAATAGAGTTCAACCAAAAGATTAAGAATGCTATAAAACCTACAGCAGTTACACACTGCCTTGATCCTTTACAACCCTTAGTTCATTAATTTATTCAACATTCTCTGGAGTGGGGTATCATCATTATATATTAAGAAGTAGGCAAAAATGTTGGATTTTGGTCCAAAAGACACAAAATAATGAAGCTTGGATGAGGTTAAATTAAATATTACAACATAGACTAAATTCTAGAAAAAGACCTAAATTTCCTCTGATCTTTGAGCTTTATGCTGAGAATGATCAAAACAAATAGATTCGGATAATATCCACCAGGGAAAAACTATAAAGAATTAGTCATCTATAAGAGACTTCAGGCCGCCGCCGCCGAGACCAAGATGGCCGGGAGACTCGCCACCTTCATCAAGGATGCCTGGGCCAAGGAGCCGGTGCTGGTCGCGTCCTGCGTCATCGGGAGCCTCTCTTTGCTTCTGCCCTTCATCAGCCCCTTCACCAAGTACGCCGTCATGATCAACAAGGTCACACCCTACAACTACCCAGTGCCCGTCCGAGATGATGGGAACATGCCTGACTGCCCAGCCACCCCCAGGACCCCCAGGGCCCAAGCCTGGAGTGGCTGAAGAAACTGTGAACTCCCCTCCTTCTCTCCCCCCAACCCCCACACACTGACAGGGAGGTCCCCTCCCCGGTGGCCAATAAAATGTGAAAACCGAAAAAAAAGAAAAAAAAAAGAGACTTCAAATAACAGAGCTTTGATATTAACATTTTTGGAAAACATTAACTAGCACACAATACCAGCATATATGTAAATGAATACACTCTGACTATAGTAACACATATAGAGAGAATTTTAGAATACTCAAAGAATACTCAAAGAGACACCAGATAACACCTCCAGTGCCCACAAATGCAGGGTAAGTTCAAGGTCACTGATTCACAGTAACATGTTTCAGGCTAGGCCAGTGGTCGGCAAACTGCGGCTCTTTGGCCTCTTGAGTGTGGCTCTTCCACAAAATACCGACTTCTGCGCATGGGCCATGAAGTTTCAATCGCACTGTACATGCGTGCCCGCACGTGGTATTTTGTGGAAGAGCCACACTCAAGGGGCCAAAGAGCCGCATGTGGCTTGCGAGCCGCAGTTTGCCAACCACTGGGCTAGGCCATCAGGAGGTGCTTCATCAGTCAACTAAAAAAGCATAAATAGAAATGCAGTAGCAAAATTTTGGTGCCCAATCACAAGTGTTTTAATCAGAGTAGAACTTACTCATAAGAATTATCAATAAATACTTTTTAACTATGTACATAATACTTTTTAAAAATTTTTGTCAAATTTCATATCATGAAGAAAAAGAAAACTAAAAAAAATGGAAACTAAAGGTTGTGAAAACACTTAAGATTTAACTAAATTAACAGTCATAGCTAAAATGTATACTAGTATAAGGTATGGTACATACCAGGTGATATTCAAAGGGCTTCTCATAAAGTAAATCTATTTAATTCCCTTTTTTCAGATAAGAAAACTACAGCCCAGGGAGGTAAAGGGAGGTGCACAGGAACGTGAAGCAGTTAAGTGGCACAGCTGGGATTTCAACCAGGGCAGCTCAGCTCTTAACTACCAGGCTACATTCCCTCAGACCAACCCACTGAAAATAACATTGCTTACCTAAATATCTACATTATGTACCAAATTTCCTTAAGTAAATCAGAGCACTAGCAGAACATGGGCTGAGTTTGGTTCTGATGAACGCTAGGCTAGCTCCTGTCTCCTGTTAAAATTTGAATTTAAGAGAGAGAGGCAGTGCTAAAATGTAAGAATGTATCTTTTATGGAATGTTTGCTTCCATAAAAGCAAGAGGAATCAGGTTTTAGACAATGATGAGAAAAAGAATGCACAAATTAAAGTTTTTGCTCTTGGTTTGCAAAAACACAAAAACAAAATAGAAGGACAGAGACACAGGAACACACACATAACCTATAGCCTGGTCATATTACCCACGAAATTAATTATTTAGGAAAATATCCATATATTCCTAGATGCCAAAGGAAAGAACTATATCTAATAACTCCGTTCTTTATATGTCCAATAAAGGAATCATTTATTACAACCATGTAATAAAAATAGTACTGAAGCAAAGTCCAATGCAAGCATTCATTATATAATTTAGAACCACCCTTTAGTCATATCTACAACCTCTTCCTTGTTTTTCTAAATATATACAGTATGCTATCTGCAATGAGGAAAGCCAAGAGATATTTTACAGTAAGTTATGTATGTCTTCTTGCAGATCTTACATTATAAATATACTAATTCAAAACTGCAGTGACATATTTCTCTTCCAATATGAGTAAGAAAGCAAGACTGTCCACTTAGTAATTTTAGCTGTGCTGAGTCTTTAAAGCCCTCAAATGTTAAGGAAATGGTTTATTTATATTAAAAAACCACAACTTACATACAATTAACCTAACCAGAAAAGGACAGGGAGGGTGGGGAGCTTGAGGGTAACAGATTTGAGGTTCAATTTCATTTTTCACAGCCAATGAAGTGATTAAGAAAGAAAGCTAAAAAAAGGAGGAAGAAGAAGGAAAAGAGAAAAAGAAGACTAAAACCACAAAGAAACTAATTTAAAGCAACTTTAGTGAACCAGTACACAGCTAAAGAAAAAAAATAATCTGGCGCTAGTTTGCTAAAGTAAACCTAGTAACAGGCAGCAGAAAACAAACTTTTTCCAAAGACCTACAGCAGGCAGCGTGGCAGCAGTGGGTCGGGGGAAACACCTATATACGCTCCTTCAAAACCAACACAAATGTTTTCTCAGAGATTTTAGGAACTTTTTATTTCTCCATTTTTAAAGAAGTAATAACATTCTCCCAACAAGCAAGGGGGAGGGTGGGGGGAGACACACCCTAAATGACCATCCTGAATATATAAATAAGACAGTAAACTGAAATGTGCTTCATTTGTCAACTGTAAATGAAATGCTAGCCTTTCACCTTGTATAAAGCCATGATTTTCAAAAGGGAAGAAAAAGCCAACTTACCTTGATACATTTTCTGGAATGTACTCTAGGACCGGATAGCCATCGCTTCTCCGAGATGCCAGGTCACTGTGGGATTTCCACGACTCCACCAAGGTATTGACAGGAGGAAAGGAACTCAGGTGCTGGAAAGATTGGTCTCTAGCCGCTCGTGACAAAGATATTGTACCTTGAGCACCAATCCTGTAGTGAAAGGACTGTCCACCTGAGTTCACACCAACAATGGCAGAGGACGGGATGCTGGCCTCTGGGTAGTAGCTCCCGTCATCTGGTTCCTGTTTAATCCCCACGGGGAAGCCGCTGCCTTCGCAGCTACCATCGAAGCCGGGCACAGGCGGGCCTAAAATTCCTGATAGAGAATAATAGTCTTTATCATCCATAAAAGAAAAATAGGAGCTATCCATGAATGGAAATGGGTTCACGGTCGGATTCCCTTTGAAGGAGGTGCCTGAACACGAATGCTTGGTTGATTCTTGTTTTATTGGTACTGAGAATGGGGAAGCGGGATTCATCTTGCTATTTCCTCTTAGACATGAGCTGCTAAAAACTCCATCTGGCTCTGGTTTTATGTACGGGACGATGTTCAGCTGGCCCGTCACACCGTTGGAGGTGGCATTCTCTGCTTCCTCTATCTTGGGAAAGGAGACCTCATGAGCACCTTTCTCGTGTGTGTCTGGGCTGGAAACCACGTCCCGGGCCGCACTGGATCCCAGAGGAGTGCCTGAAGCAGTGTAGCTGAAGGCATTGCTAACAGGGCTGCAGATGGACCCCACGGTGCTAGCAGTTGGACTGGAAAGCGTGGATCTGTTATTCGTGTTGGAAGGGCTGGAAACGGAGCACCTTGAGTTGTTGATATTGGCCGGGCTGGACACTGCAGATCGCAAAGTGACATTTGGGCTGGAGACTGGAGATTTTACACTGCAGTGACTTGGAGGGCTGGAAACTGGGGATTTCATGCTACTTAATGGACTTGAGAGAGGAGAGCCCACATTGCTAGCATGCGCTGGGCTGTGCGACCTGGAACCTCGAGTCTCGATATTCGGGGAGCAGGTCAAGGGGGTCCCCTGGGTGATAGGGCTGTGCACTGTGAAACTGCCAAAGCTGGCCGAGGTGGAGGACACAGAGCTGAGTCCAGCGGGGCTGCACGCTGAAGATGTCATGTTCAGAGGGCTGCAAACAGATGGGCTCTTCTCATGACACAGGAGAGGGCTTTTAACGATGGCACGCATGACCCCGCCATTTACAGAGCTCCCCGAGTCAGCCACGAACGATCTCAAGGGCCTGTTCATCCCTGCAGTGGAAGGACAATGGCCGTTTTCTTTATAAAATTTCACCAACTGTTCAACATTCTGATAAATCTTTGCTGGACTCAGGCTTCCTTGCTGGTTCTGCGGATCATAGGTGTACTCAGCATCTCTAATAGAATCCATGTATAAACCCATGGACTCAGCTACAGTTACTGAAAGTTCCTTAGATTCCAGCTCCGTTTTAATATCAGATGTTAAAATCCCAGGCCGATTATTGTCTTGCTGAAGGCAAGGGAGTAGTTCATGTTTTTCTTTGCTGCTTCCTTGAGTACTGTTGTTTGGAATAGCACCGGAAACACAGCTTACATTGACAATCTCCATGTAGTTGTTCTCATCGGTCCTCTCTGTAGGTCCCAGGGATGAATGATCCACAGCCTGAGAAACTTGACCCCACCGTCTTTCCATATCTAGACCTTCAGGGAGACTGTGGTAGCCTTTGGTCTCCATAGCTAACAAATAAATTTACATTAAAAAATCGAATTAGAGTCATTTATAACATTACTCTAACATTATTCTTAAATTCCATTTACTAAGCCAGCAATTTTCAACTGGTGTGCCGCAAGAATTTTTAAAACGTGCAATACCTGACTATTTTGTCAGGGGCCCTGACCTTTTTTGCTATTCGATTGTCAAGTAAAAACATGACAACAGCCAACAAAACAACAGCCGTCCAGTGTGAATGAATCAAAATTATACCTATTTTTATCAGATAGAGACAGACAAAAATAAAACATATTTTTGGGTGTGCCACAGAATTTTAGTAATTAGTATGTGTGCCAGGAGATGAAAATGGTTGCAAATCGCTGTACTAAGCTATAAGTGCATATTCTATTTATTATAAGCAACACTTGTATTAAAATTGTTACCTGACTAGGTGCTGATACAACAGAGTACTGACTGTAACTTGTCCAGAAGCCAAGTTACAGCCAGTAACCTGACTATAAGAAGCACATATGAAACTACTTTTCATCCAAGTAAGAGTAACATATTTCTATAACACAGCCTTTAGAGTTCACAAAGACTATTTACAAATGCTAACTTATTTAATATTCAAAGTAATCCTGGGGACCATGAAGTAAACAAAGAGGAAACTGAGGACTTAGTGAGGTAGGTGGCTTGCCCAAGGTCAAAGGCATAATAAGTGACAAAGGCAGGTTTAAAACTAAATATTCTAACTCCAAAGCCTTTTGAATCTTTGGGGTATATGGAAGATACTTCCCATATCTAAAACATGGCTTTATTAAAAATAATAAGAAAATGCAATTAATGCTACCATTTCCCAATATAAAGTTATGGAGTAAATTATCACAGGAAAAACAGTAAGATTTTTAAAAAATTGATTGTGATCAAGATAATTTAATGTCAAGTCTAAAAAGTAAAGATTCATCTATCCTGTTTAATTAAGATGGTCCAAAGCTCAGAGGGGCTATGTCGGGAATGACAGGACTCTTCTCTGTATTTCAGTCCAGGTGAGGACTCTGATGTGCACCCTGACCTGGTGGTGTTCCTCCTTCTAAAAAGACTCCCAACAGACAGACAGTTTCAGTCTCCACTGTAAATGGAGGAAGTTCAAGATGGGTCCTGACAACTTATGTGTTCATTCATTCAACAAATACTTACCAAGGGTGTGCTACATCCTGGGCCTACAACCAATCACTGAATCTATGGTTCTAAAGAAAACAGGCACAGTCCCCATCCTCAGGGAGCCCGCAGGATTGTTGTAGCTATACAATCATATCCATTGGCTCTCTCTATATATATTTCATTGACATAATAATTGTAATAGGCTATATTTATATAATTCTTATGCATCACATAATTCAATGCAATATTATAAGCCTTTCTCAAACATTAACTTATTTACCCTTATAAGTATAAACAATCCTTTAAAATTGGTAAAAGTATTATCCAAATGATACAAGTGGGGAAACTGAGGCACTGGGCACACAGCTAAGTGGCAGAACTGGAATTTGATCCCATGTCCTCTCTCCATGGTTATCTCAACTTGGCACCACTGACGTTTTGGGCCTGATAATTCTTTGTTGTGGAGGTCTGCCCCATGCACTGTAAGATGTTTAACACATCCCTGACCCTTTCCCACTAGATGCCAGTAGCAGTCCCTATTGTCCCCAGTTGTGACAACCAAAAATGTCTCCAGACATTGCCAAATGTTCCTGGAATGGGGGGAGAGGGGATTCCTCCACACTCACCATTGAGAACTGCCACATAAAGAAAACTAACTTATTCTGAGTAAAAATTTCATTTGTACATTGTTATAAACCTCCTAAAATTATTATGCATTTTTCAAATCCTTTCAGTTGTGTAAACAAACTATGACCCAAGTGAAGGTCCTGATCTTAAACGTGCCGTTTCTACAGATCTGTGCACAAGCATTACTTTAGGCCTCTCATCCTTTCCCCTGCTTTGCCACTCACACCTTCATTCTTCCTACCTTCCTCTCATTACAAAGAGACTAGGGAGCCCTTTTGTTACAGAACTTGTATTAATTGACACGCAAAAATAATGCTGACTCTACCAAATAAATTGGCAATAGCTATGAGAGGGCTCTATAATGAAATTTAATGCCCAAATCGTCTGCTATTGTAACTACTTTAACTTTTCTGTATTCTACAGTAGAATGTAAGGTCCCAGAAGGCAGAAGATTTATAAATTTCACCAGTGCATCCCAAGCTAATAGTACAGTGAAAACAACAACAAAAACACACAAAAAAAACGGAACCATTATAATCAATACTAATTTAAAACCATACATAAAAGCCTGCCAATTATGTAGCCTCCTTTTACTTAAAGAGCATTAGTCTATAAATTCCTAATAAAAAATGAATCCACAAAACACTGGAAAATAAATCAAATTTCAGAGGCTGAGGTGGTTATCTGGTAACTCCAGCCAAAAAATTCAGTAAGGATAAAAGCCAAGTAAAAGTTGAAAAAACAACAACAACAACAAAACACACACAAAAACTACCACTAGTGAAATGGGATAGAAATGGCTACCACTGGCATTTTCTCCTTTACTAAAAAACCATTTAGTCATAGTCACAGGTTGAAAAGGACCAGAAAACATCATATGCTTTTTCAACTTCTACCTAAGAATATTCTGTCCTCCCCTTACCAAACTTGAAGGGATGTATATCTAAGGTATAGATGTTTTGGCTCCAAATTCATTAAACACCACAAGTAACATGGCTGTCTATTCGTGTTCAAAACTGAACACCTTCTGTGTATCACCACTCGCTCCTCAACCCAGTCCCTCAGCCCATGATCCCTGTTTGGTAAACTGCTCCACCCTCTCCCCAAATGCCTGGAATTCACCCTTGCCTAAGTACCTTTACTAAAGGCCTCCACAGACCCACCCCTCCCCACTTCCACACTGACAGCCTCTCCCCAGGTCCTGGGGAACGGGCCTACCTTCCCGGAGTCTGAAGGGAAATCTCCATGCAGATCCCTCTCCAAAATTCCATAGTTCAAATTCTCCTTCAGAAAGGATGATCACTTACTGCATTTTTAAAGGCTCCCAGTGGAAATTTGCAGCTAAAACTCCCGGGCAGCTCCACAGTGCAGAAACCTGTTTCCCTTTGAATCCAGAACACCTACTGATATTCCAAGGGAGGTTTTTCATCACTCTGCCCTAAAGTAGGAATCATAGCTCAGATTTATGAATCCTCATGAAGATTTGAAGAGAATCTATATGGGAGATGGCAGGCAAGGACAATCATAAACTACAAGCAAGCACCTTATCAGCTAACATCATGCAGCTGAGCACAACTTTTCAAGTCCTGTTTAGCCATCCTTAAACTCCCTTAACAATAAGATAATATAGCCTGCATTTCACTACGTTACTGACAGGGCTATCATTATAGAATTTGCAACAGGCTTTGCTGAAATCCAAATTAGCTTTGTAGGTATTCTCATCTATCAACCTAAGGCACCTCTCAACAAAGAAAACAGAGTAAAGGTTGGCAACAGTCAAACAGAAAAATAGAGGGCATCAAGCACCTGTATGGCTTCCACTGGAAACACTTTTAAAGATCAGATGTTTTCAAAAAATAGATTTACTGAAATATTTTACTCTGAGTTCTCCCTATTATTTTAATTCATCTTCTCTGTAAAGAAATGTATCCGGTTAGAAATTTGTTTCCTATGTTGTCCAGGAAACCCAACTTTTTGTCCTTTCGGAATTGGCATAATGACCATGGTGGTTTCAAGAGAATTTCGGTCAACTCAAACTTACTAGTGAATACTAAAAATACTAGTTGGTGAATATGATTCTCATAGAACTAACTTACTATCCACAGGGTAAAGGGACAGTTTTTTATTACTAGCCTATAGGATACTGGTATAGAAACCTAGCTTATATAAAATAAAATTTGTCTCCCTTACAATGAAGATTACAACAGAGACCTTCTCTGGACAAAGTAAAAAAACGACTAGAACCCTTTAATTTTCATGTGAATGGCCAGGTCACAAAACATAATGGAAATTTCACATAAGAAAAGTAAGGGCAAGCTCTGCTAGAAGTTCTACCTTAAGCCATATGTATGCTCTTAAATACTATTTTTGCAAAGGAAAAATCTGACTTTAAAATTTTGTCTTATACCCTGTATTAAATTGTCCTTTTCCATAAGGAAGTAGTTTTTTTTTTTCAGAAATATTAACAGAAACTCCTGCAAATTTGTATTTTATCTGAAAACATTTTCACTTTTAATATCCCCCATAGTTCCATTTTAAATGCATCATTTTCTATAGTTATTTCACTATAACAAGGCATCTAAAAGACCAGAATCTTTAAGAATGACACAATTTTCACTGGTTGCATAGTTGTAAGTTTGTTGTATGTAACTATTTTTCTGTCATTCCCACTACAGAACCATGATTATGTTCCCCTCCTTTACAGATGAGGTAAATGATAGAAACCTGCCCAAGGTCACCTAAGAGAGCAGGAGAACCAGTTAGAACTGCGCACACCTGATTTCTATTCACTCACCTAATTCACTGAGCCACCTGATCTTTCCAAAATCCCCAAACAAAACTATTTCTTCTCCCTTAAAGGAAAAAGCTCGCCTTTAGATTATTTTTAAAAACTTCTCTCCTCGACCATTTCCATGATAGCATGCCATGAAGTCACACATAAAATTAAAACTTCACAGCAGAACTTCACAGATGGAGAACGCTGTTATCATTACTATGTAAATATCATCAATAACAGCACCTAGAGAAATGGAAATAGTGCATTTGGAATTCAGCACTTTCCAAAATTTGCCTCCTATGAAGTAAAAGTTTTCCTAACTTCTATGAAATAGTTAAAACCGAGGGTGCCATAAACCATTATGATTTAAACCTGATTTTTAAAAATTCAGTAGGAGAAGTCATGCACCTAAATCCAGTAGAAGGGTCCGGGGTGACACCAAAAGAAGCTCCATCCCTTTTCCCCTGCCTTCAGAATTCCAACTGATGCCACAGAAAGAAGAGCCTCTCTCAAGAGTTTCATGAATACCCAGGAATGGGGAATTCACGAATTTCCAGAGCCTCCTTCATGCAGGATCTATCAGGATCTCTATCTCCTTCAACTGCCCTTAATAAGCTACACCTCCAGCTATGATTTGGGTGTTTCTGCAATTGATAGAGGAGAGAAATATCATTCAAAGGTCCTTTAAAAACTGTACAAGGAGAAGGACCCGAAATTCATCCTGGGGAAAAGGAGAAGGGTGATGATAGACCTCCCACTGCCAAAAGCGGCTGAAAGCCGCTTGTTAGAGGGCATTTATCCAAAGTGGCCAAACTTTCCCAAAATAGTCCTCTGGCAGCCAAAGGGGGGAAAAAGTGGAAAACCAAAACAAAACAACAAGCACACAGCCCCATACCGACCGTGCCTCCGAATTACGCAGCCACTTCTCCCAGCAAAGTGCACGCTCCCGCGCCACGGCCGCACGCCCGGGCCGGCAAGCGGCGCCCCGCCGCGCACCCCCACACACCTGCCTCGGCCGGGGTCCGTCTCGGCGTCTACCTGTTGCAGCGCTCGCCAACGCCACGACACTCCAGCTGCGGAGCCCCCCCAAATCCAACCACATCCAGGCCAGCGACTGCCGCTCCCCTGTAGCGGGAGCGCCCGAGGAGGCAGCAACGCTCTTGCACCCAGGTGACTGCACGGGCTTCCTCCAGCAGCCTGAAGTTGGCTAGCGTCTCCCCCGTCCAATGACACCCCGGGCGCGGAGGGGCGGAGAGGACCCGGCGGGGCCAGAGGTAGGAGCTGGGCCAGGGCGGGCGAAATGGGGAGGGAGAGAGGAGAGAGGACGGGTGGAAGCCCGGAGGGGGAGTGGGCCCTTTTTAAAGCGGGTCACATGTCCAGATAAAGTTCAGGCTGCTATCCCGCCCCCTGAGCCCTTGCTATTGGCCCAGGGGGAAGCCAGGCTCCACGCTGCTTGGGCGAGGATGGCTTCTCATTGGGCAATTGTGGCTGTCAGTCACCAGGAGGACGACATGACTGATACAAAGTTGCTGCGACACAGCCTGGACTCGGCGGCTCCCTTAAAGCCGCACGGGCGACTGGGGTGCCCAGCAGCGGCTACGACACCAGGCAGCAGGCCCCCTGCGCACGCTGACCCCCGCCCCTCGCTCAGCAGCCCTCAGCTTTCTCGCGCCACCTGGCTCTCCTGCCCACCCTACGATAGCTGAAAAGACATGCAAAGTGTGGTGACGCGTCAAAGTCGGCTTTTCCGAGAGCCAGTCAAGGTGTAATCCCCTCACGCTCTCCACCTGCAGCGCCAGGTGAAGGGCAGCCCTGGCCCAGACTCCACCCGCAGCGTCCGCTCGCAGGGGAGGACTCCCGCGGGGGCCGCACCGACCCCCAAGGTCCTCTCCACGCCCCTTTCCTGGGTTTCCGAGTTACCTCTCAGCAGAGCAGCCGCAGTGTCCGCTGCCAGCTTGCAAGAGGATCACGTTCCCACTTGATTTGAATTTCCTTGTTTTAACCGTGCAGGAAAAGTGGGTGATTTCAGCGTCGCCGAGCCTTTTAAACACAGCCTCTCACCCACTTCCTCACCCCCCCCCCCAACCAAAAAAAAAAAAGTACCAGGGTCAGGAGCTGCTGCTCTCTCTCCTTACAATTTTGTTACTGTCCTTACTACTTTAGCGTTGGATTTTTCCACTAGTTCAATTAGAAAGAAAAGCCTTCGGTCGAGGACATTCACTTCTTTATAATGGGTGGCAGTGGTTGCATATAACTAGGGGGAACATACAGAAGAGGGGGAAGGAACCGAACTGTTTTCTAAGGATATGGCATCTGCAAGAAGAAATGTCCGATTCCCTCCAACCGCCCCTACCTCAACTCTCCTCCCGCCCACCCAACCTCTGGACTTCTTAACTCCGATATCTAAGGACGTTGAGGGTCCGCGTGTGCGGCTCGGTTTTAGGCTCCCAGCTGGCTCCAAATCAGCACCAGTGACGTACACGCCTAAATCTGGTACCCTGGCCCTCGGCGACCTGCCTGCAGCCGGGCGCCAGCAGCTGCTCAGCCTCCCGCCTCACCCTCGCCCCGCGCCCGCGTTAAGTCGTGGGGAAGGCGTTCACCCTGTGCCCAAAGGCCCCTCTTCGCCTTACAGTTAATTAAGCTTCGGGATTTCGGACCCTGAAAGCAAGAAGACTCAAACTTCCAGCCATTGCAGGCAGGGAACTCCTTGCTAGCGGAGGCGACGGAGACGGCGCGGGAGAGCTGGTCCCGACGCCTCCTCAGGTGTTCGGCATTCCCCTGCGCAAAGCGACCCCCGGTGCCCCAGGTGCCGGGAGTCCCGGCCAAGAGTCCCGACTTTCCCGAGGGGCCCGCCGTCACTCGCGCTCTCCCAGCCCGGCAGCAGTTGTGCGTCGATCGCACTCGGGCGGAGCACAGGCGGCAGGCAGGAGCGAGGAGAGTCCCGGAGCTGGCGCCCGGGCACGCGAGGAGGCGGCTGCTCAGCCTGCGCTGCCAAATTATTCATTATTAAAGGAATGGACGTGCCTGTTTTACTAAGTTTTTACCTCCTTTACGGAGAGCCCATTTTACCCTGGATCTCAGCTTCTGGCAAAATCTAGGTTAGAACCGTGCAGGGACAGCCGCTGCGATCGCTTGCTTGCCCGCGCCCAGCAACCCTGCCCAGAGGCGGCCCAACGGGCACCTCGTCTGCCCGCAGCCCACCTCTGCGTGGACCCAGCCTTCACCAGGGTCGCCCCTGAGCTCCCCAGTTCCCTTCCCATTGCTGTCAGTGCAGTGACTCGCTGCACTCACCTTTTCTAGGACATGGTGGGGAGGCTGGGGCGCGGGTGGGGGGGCAGCGAGACTCCCGCCGCCGCCGCCGCTGCTGCCGCCACCAGCAAGTCCAATGTTAGCAGATCGGCAATAAGGATGGAGAGGATGGTAATCCCGGCGGTCGCCCTTCTGACGGTGGGTAGAGCAATAGAGCAGTAGTGTTGTTACCCCGCAGGAGCAGGCGAGACGCCGGTGCCAAATCGCTCAGAGGGGGACGCGGGCTCCCGCGCGCCCCTAGCAGCGGCGGCTGGCCTCAGGCGGGCGCCTCTTTGGGGCTTCTGGTCTCCCGGGCGTTGACGGCGGCCCTGGGAGCCTGGAAATTCCGCGGGGTGATCCCGAGTGGGCTGCCCCGCAGCGCGGCTCTCCGCGCCCCCTCCCCGGGCCTGGGGTGGCCAGTGACAGCTCGGACGTCGGAGTGTGTGTGTGTGTGTGTGTGTGTGTGTGTGTGTGTGTGTGTGTGAGGGGGGTGGGGGGGGAGGCCGCGAGGGGAGCTCTCGGCGCCGCGGCCCCCTCCGCGGGTCAAGCCCTCACCAGCAGGAGAAGGTAGCAAAGCGTACAGACACCGACTGGTGGGAAACGGGCTAGGGGTGGCAGGGGCCGCCCTCCCACCCCGGCTTCAGGTAGGGAGGAGGCCTAGAGAAAACGGAACCCCAGTGCACGAGCACCCCACCCCTCACTCGAGGTCCCCCCCCCTCCCCAAGTCCGGCCCTGACCTCAAGCCCCAGCCTCAGGTGCAGTTCCCACCTGCGGGGGACCGCGCGGACTCAGGACTACGCCTTGGGGGCGGGAGGGAAAAGTTTCTTTTCCTGCTCCCTCGCTGCCCACCCGGGGAGGCAGCATCTCTCCTCCTCCTCTGGGGTTTTCTGCGCCTCTGCCCCACCCCCACCATGGGGGGGCGCCGAGGACCCACTGCGTTTTTGCGCGCGGGGGCGCTTTGGGGGAGGGGTGAGTAGCAACGGCCGCCACTGGTCCCCTAGCTCTGACAGCCGCCGAAACGCGGACGGCCGCGGGTCCCGGGAGCTAACGGAGGCAGGACCCCTTCCCCCTCGGCTCCCGGAGCGCCGCGCGCCCCCGCGCCGCCCCGCGCGCCCTCGCGCCTGCCGGGGCAAACACCTACGCAGACGCGAAAGTGAAAGGGGGGCGACCGAGCTGGGAGGGCGGCGGGTGGCGCGCGCCGGCGGGAGCGCGCGGTGGGGTGGCGGGGCGGAGGATGGAGCGATCCAGGGATTCTCCTGCTCCCACTGCCCTGCGGAGCTGCCTCCTTGCTTCGAAGCTTCCTTGCAACCCCAGGTCACCTACACCCCGCTTCACGGATCACCCCATCTGGGCATGTATGTGTTTGTGCGCGATATGGGTCAGCCCAGACTGTTCCACCGCACTGGTACACTTACCCTTGGTGGAAGATTGGGATGGGGATAGGGGGTGCCTTATGCATGTCACTACTACTTACAGCCTCCTCTGCTTGCTGTCCTTTATGACTTAGGTAAACCCAGAGAAATGACCACATACACCCCTGCTCAGGTTTAATATTTCCTTTTCCACAGGCTGTATTGGAACCCCGCCCCCCACCCTGCCTAATTCTGGGTTCTTTCACGTTTTCTTTCGAAATAGCTGTGAAAATTGCTAATCCCTTCCCACACTAAGCCCTGTTAAATACCCAACTGCCCTGTTGAAACAATCACTACCTTTCTTTGACCACATTCCGACTGTCTGAATATCGACCTCCCATTTCATCCATCACCCACCCAGTCAGTGTTGGCAGTACTTAATTCTTAGATGGCTCAAAGTGGCATTTTGGCCTCTAGCAAAATGACCTTTTGCCTCAGTTTCCATATTTGTAGGGAATGTAGAATCCTTAAAACATTTTTAGGTGAACTCAAAAAAATAATAATAATGTATTTTAAAATTAGCATATTAACATATATTCAATGAAGTTTTAAAAGAAGCACTATTTAAAAGTTTACTGACTACAAAAACTGGTTTTTGAAATGCATCAAATATTAGATGGATTGAGATTGATGGGTTGATAAAGTAGACAGAGGGATAATAGATATGTGATAAAGTATACATATAGTATAATATTAATGGTAGATTCTAAGTGGTGGGTATACAGGTATACACTGTAAAATTCCTTCAACTTTTTTGTAAGTTTGAAATTTTTCATAATGAAATGCTAGAGAAAACCCTTATTTGTGGTAAACAAATAATGTAAATTTCTGTTTAGAAAATTGATCAATTAGTAGTTCTTCCCTCTTTACAAAATGATTTACCATACACATTCTATACCTAGGTACCCCACTGCTACTTTGTCAATAATTCCATTACAGACTGCTTGGTGGGGATCAGACTATTGTATTATAACTAGAACATTTTAGAATTTGGAAGATTTTTCTTGTGTTGTTTTTTTTTTATGTTCGTGTCCATTCTCATTTTTTTTTTTATCTTCCCTGCCTTTAAAAGTTTATTATAAAACTGAGATTGAATTCTTCACCATCTATGGATATTCTTTTGAAACTTTTTCACACCAAAATAGCTTCAGGAGATGGTCCATATGTCCATCCATATCAGCTTCTACTATCCTTTGGGAGAGATGTCAAGGGGTCTTGCAATTAATAATGGGTAAAACTTTGCTTTTGGATATCTGAGTATCTAAATATTTTCCCAAACATTTCAACAATTAAATTTCCATCTTCTCTTCATTTTCTTTTGCTGGCTGTAAGACAAGAGGTGGCCCTGTGCCACTCTTGAAGGGAGAACAGTTCCAGGATAAGATGTGTGGTTCCCTCATCTGAGGAGAAGGTAACATTGATTTTGCTAAGAATCAAAGATAGGGATGCAGGGGTTTCTGGTTATTTGGATTACTTTCCATTCCAATGCTCATTAATAAAGAACCCAATCAACTTTAAAAAGTGTACACCCAGAAATGTCATTACTTGTTCTTAAGGCTGTCCTTTAAAAAAGTTTGTTCTTTTCATCCTTTTAGATATGTATATATTTTTTTCTTTGCAAAAGAAAGGAAATGTTTGTGTGTGTGTGTTTTTTTTTTTTTTAAGAGAAA